AGAATGTGATTGGTTAGAATAAATTATGATGTTGGCAATTTGGAAGACATGAAAAGAAAGTTCCGAAATGACTTTGCCGGCGAATCGGGAGACAAGAATCTCTTGCATGTAATTCTAGTGGTCAGTACTAGATTTTGGAAGATTCGGGTAATCATGATGTTTTTACTTTAGGGGACAAGAATATTTTGCATGAAAATCTAGTGGCCGATACTAGATTTGTAAAGATTTGGAGTAATGATTACAGGACTAAGTAATGAGTACAAAATCTTTTGAAATAATTATAAAATCTTTTGAAATAAATATAAAATCTTTTGAAATGATTATAGAATATTTTGAAATGATTACAAAATCATTTTGTAGTAATTACAAAATCTTTTGAAATAAATATGGAATATTTCGTAATGATTACAAAATCTTTTCAAATAAATATAGAATATTTAGTAATGATTACAAAATCTTACATTTTTCGGGAATGATAGTTATGATTTTTTAATAATTTAAATAAGACAAAATATAGTTTTTTGAGCAAGATTCTCAGGGGTATTTTTGGGTAATTAAGTTAAAAATAATCAGGGAAATTTTGGATGATATCGAAGCCAAGTGTATTGCATGCAGTTACTCTAAAATGCAAAACTTAGAGATCAAGTCACTATTCTCCTCAGTGAATAAAAATAGAAAATTCAGCATCTATCTAATTATTCCGACACTAGCAAGTCAGAATCAGTAAATAATTAAAATTCAAGAGCTAATAGCCAACTAACAAAAATTTGGGGCGTTACACGGGCCGCCAAGTACATCTTGATAAAGAATTGTACAAAAGAGGAATTTCAACACCCAGGTTGAAATGTCTTGATGAGGATTAGGCCAGTTATGTGATGACAGAAATTCATGAAGGAATTTGTGGTATCCATTCGGGCGAACGAACCATGGCAGCTAAGATTCTGAGAGCCGGATACTTCTTTGTAAAGAAGTGCATCCCCTGTCAGCAACACGGTCCTCACATACACCAACATGCCGACACCCTTCACCCCATCAGTTCTCCTTGGCCCTTTGCCATTTGGGGAATGGACCTTCTTGGTCCTTTTCCCCTAGCAAAAGGACAGTGTAAATTCTTGATTGTAGCTGTAAACTACTTTACTAAATGGATTGAAGCAGAGCCAATGGCCACCATCACAGCCAACAACGTGCAGAAGTTCACATGAAAAAATATAATCACACGGTTTGGACCTCATGCTCTGATAACAGATAACAGGCTGCAATTCATGGATTGACGATTCAAATTTTTGGAAGGGCTTCAAATCAAACACAGAGTCACATCTGTTGAACATCCTCAGACTAATGGACAGGCCGAGGTTGCAAACAAGGTCATTTTATATGAACTTAAAAGAAGATTGGATTCAGCAAAAGGAGAATAGGCAGAAAAATTGTCCGATATCTTATGGGCTTATTGATGTACACCACAAACAACCACAAAGGAGACACCTTTTCAGTTAACCTATGGTACTGATGCCATGGTGCCAGTCGAGATTGGAGAGCCATCATTTCGAAGACAACACTTTGACGAATCAGCTAACGACGAATCCCTAGCCATCAACCAAGAATTATTGGATAAAGTACGCGGTCACGCAGCGATAGTGGCTGAGCCCAGCAAAAGGATAATAGCAAGGAAGTTCAATTCAAAAATTAATCCAAGACAATTCTATGTTAATGACTTGGTGTAGCGAGTAATAGGAGAAGCATGCCGGGACCGACGAGAAGGGAACTTGGCTGCTAATTGGGAAGGACCCTTTCGGGTAACGGCACGGCTAGACAATGAGTCATACAAGTTGGAGATACTTGAAGGAAAGACAATACCGAGAACTTGGAACAACACACATTTAAAGCATTATTTCAGTTATACACTTGTAATATGTAATCGGTGCACTCTTTTCCTCACCCAAATTTTGTCATCGTAAAAGAACGTGAAAAGAAGTTTTCTTGAGAAGGTTTTTAACGAGGCACATTATCAATAAAATACATCTTCTACAGCTATTTAGTTTTTCTGGATTATCACTTGATTTCCCACCCGAGTACCCCTACTCGGCCAAGGATGAATCAATCTTTTAAAATTCCCTCCCGAGTACCCTTACTCGGTTAAGGATGAATCAAATATTAAAATTCCCTCCCAAGTATACCTACTTGGCCAAGAACGAATTAATTATTCCCTCCCGAGTACCTCTACTCGGCCAAGGACGAACCCATCATTAAAATTCTCTCCCAAGTATAACTACTTGGCCAAGGACGAATTAATTATTCCCTCTAGAGTACCTCCACTTGGCCAAAGATGAATTAATTATTCCCTCCCGAGTACCCCTACTCGGTTAAGGATGAATCAATCATTCGAATTTCATCCCAAGTATTTGTACTTGGCCAAGGATGAATTTATTATGCCCTCTTAAGTTTCCCTACTCGGTTAAGGATGAATTAATAACGACGTATTTACCCGAGCACCCCCTAATCAGTTAAAGATAAAATATCCTTCCAGGTATACCTATTCGATTAAAAATTATTCACATTACTCGGTTAAGGTTGAAGTAAATATTCAATACCTTATTGAAAAATCTCTACACGCTGTTAGATATTTTAATCAACTAATCGGTTTAAGTTATTATTCTTCATAAGTAGTAGTCGACTAACAAAAAGAGGAGGTAAATAAAATTGGTATTCATCTCCTGAATGGATTACAAAATTTGGGCACTATCGGCCCAGGAATATAAAGAGACTACAAAAAAGAAAGATTGTTTCTAATTTCCCCTCCCTAACATCAAGACCAAAGGCATTCTTAGTAGTTGGGATTCGGCTAGGGGCCTTGATATTAGGTTCTACATCAGCATCCACTTCATCATATGGTAAGAACCTTTCGCCAAAGAAGTCTCTGGTTAAATCAAAATGGAAGTCGGTTGGCACTGGACAAAATTTATAGCATTGGCATACAACATGTTGAAAGCCTGCTTCATGTTCGACAACCATCTTGTCGGAACATTTGTCAGAAAATGCCTTCATTTCAGCCTCAGCCTTTTGCCTTTCATAAGCCAAGGCCTCTTCCATTTCAAGAGATTTGACTCTTAAAGCTTCTTCTATCTCCAGAGACTTTGTCCTTAAATCCTCTTCCATTTCTTCATGCTTAGCCCTCAGTGCCTGCTCGGTGGTTTGAAGCTGATTTTCCATTGTGTTATAATGCTCCTTTATCTGAGCAACCTCAGTTTCTAGTCCTTTATTGGCCTCAAATAGGTTGGATTAGACCTCTTCACTCTTAGCTAAAGCCCTCTGAAAAGAAGAAAACTGACCTTGGACCCTTTCCAGTTCTTGCAAAGGCTCCAAAGCCAGTCTTCGGACCATCACCATGGCTCAGGCTTGTAGCTCAGAGTACCAGTGCCATAAGGCCTTATGGTTTAGATGGTTGACTATATTACACCCTGACTAAGAAAGTAAATCGGGGGCGACAACCCGTCTGGCTCGGACCCCTTCGGCAAAGAAAGAATCAGCCAACACCGCTGGAGGAATCACAGAGTTGGCAGAGGAGCTACTGGCACCTACCGACCTAGCTACTTGGGCATTTTTGCTTGGCCCCTCGGCACCAGCCGGCCCAGCTGACCGAGAATGCTTCCGCTCCTTCTCGGACTCTTTCTCCTTGCCCCTGTCCTTGCGCTTCTTTGGCTGACCTTCAGCAAGAACGAAGTTTTGGGGAGAAGGGCGAGATTCAGTAATTTCTGGAACATGGTCAAGTTGGGGATGACGATACTCTTTAACTGAGACGTCACCAGGAGTCCATCTTCTTAATCCATGAAGAAACAATCCTACACTTGATTCTATGTAATGGAACTTACAAAGAACTCTAAAGGTTTGCAGCGCCGTCCACCCATTCGGATGGAGTTGTGTCGGCACTACATTCAAAATTCTTAATACTCCTATTTGGAAGTCATCAAAAGGAAGCTTAATACCTAACTCCCTAAACATGTACTCATACTGTTATACACAAAGAAGGTGTCGGCCATTCCAACACCTCCTAAGAACACTAGGTCGGGATTGCCAGAACCATCTCTTCGGCAAGTGTTGATCATTATTGGGTATGGAGTCGAAGACTCCTATAAGGAAATATCGCAATGATCTACAAAAGATTAGAGATCCTTTTTCCTTTGAAAGCGGGAGAAGTAGGCGGCCACTTCACCATGGACCCATTCATAGTCAGGAACTATACAAGGAGGCAATACCGGTATTTCCCTAGGGAGGCTGGCATTCGGTAACGATTGGGTAGATTCAGAATCATCGGCAACATCCGACGGTTTGGCACCATCATTGCATTCCCTAACTATTTGTTCTACTTCATCCTCTGCCCCACTCGGCCTTGAAGAAACCTCACCCTCTTCAGTTCCTCTGACACTATGAACTTCAACAGTAGTCGGCCCTAACGAATCAGACAATGAGTCCTCCTACTCTAGTGATTTGGCCATTACAGACTAAGGAAAAATTAATGAATGATTAAGTGTACCTTGTTGTAGTAGTCGAAAAGAGGAAGAAAAACTTCTAAAAGCAATGTATACCACTAGGTCTAGAGCAATAGTATGCACCCTTCGGTTTAGAGCAAAAAAAGCATAAAAAAAGGCCTGGACCACCATGTATTTATAAAACCAGAGGTGTCAAGCATATGAAGGGTCACATCCCTTCCTAACCATCGAATCTTTCCCAGATCTACAGATGTGATCAGGCACCCTTTCGTTTTAGAGGCATACAAAACGAGGAAACCCTAACAAAAAAAATATCTCTTACACCCTAAAGTGGCCGAAATCATTATTTATATTATTTTTATTTTTATTTTTTAATTATTTTATTTTATTTACATCTAAAACTAAATACAGATTCGGTTTGTGTCTCCTCGTCCTATTTATCTCTCCATTAAACTGAATACCCCCTAGGTACTCTTATCTCTTGACTGAAACAGAATATCCTTTTGTCTACATACCATGGGTAAGTATATTATTAAGCCCTTGCATTGTACCTCTTCGGGCTTGGGGGCTAGTGTACCGGATAAGACACTACTTGGTTTTACCTACAGAAGAAGGGAACCGAGTACTCCCTCGGTCAAGATAAGCCAAATACCCTCTCGGCCAGGATTAAAGGTAATTAACCTAATTAAGGGTAATAATCAAACTATTATCTACTCTAATTAAAGGGCCAAAACCAGGGCTGACTCAGTAAGCCCATTAGCCCAAAACACTGCCTATAAAAGGAAAGTAGGAGGTACAGGTAAAAGGTTGACTTTTGAATATTAAATAGTATTTATTGCTCAGAACCGAATCCTGACTTCAGCATCAGAGTGCTTTTTGCATGTACCCTTCCCACGTCAAGCAACATCAGCAAGATATGGAAGGACGTCACCTTATTTGAGTAGAGACCTGAAGACTAATGTTTCCCTACCAGGAACAATATCCAATAATATTTTCTAATAAATTATATTGAATATTTAATATAGATGAAATTAATAATAAATATAATCATCTCAAAATTTAGGTTTAACAATCTTTCTTTTAAATTACTCTTTCTGAAACTTCTCAGCAACATCACATCTTTAACTTGTGTTGAGTCTTCAACGCATAATTAATTAGAATTCACACATTGTATGTAATAGTATACCTCTTTGTCATTCTATTTGAGTGGATGTTCTCAAATTGTTTTCATTGCATAATTGAATTCTTTCCTTTAAAAAAAATGTAGAAGAAACTCATAACAAGCAACCCATAAATGAAACGTTAAAAAGTTTTGGCTGCATATATTTCTTATCTATAAGTCAAAAACAACCTTTAGTTAGAAAGATGAAATGTTTGATGACAACAAATTCTCATTCTAGGCTTAACTAATTAGGCATATCATTGTGATCCCATGTTGTATATCATATCAAATTTCATTGTAAATTGGTACTCTTTTTGAAGAATTTATTATCGGTAAGGAATCAGTTCTGCTATCTTATATAGTTTAGAAGATTAATTTAATTTATTCATACACAGTATACGATAAAATGTGTTTACTCTTTATAAATATAATTATAATTTTTCAAAATATTAATTTTAACCATCATATGTTTTATTTTTAAAATTTTATTCTTATTATTATTTATTGGTGTGATTAAATTTAAATTTAAATTTAAATTTGTCACATTACATATTATCTTAAGATGATTAATAATGTGACACACTTAATCATATATATACTATGCTATTACTAAATGATGATAAAAAAAACTATTTTTAAAAAGTTCAAATTAATCAAATTTAATTTTTTAAAGAATTAAAATTAATAAATATAATTATATTTATAAAAATTAAATAAAATAATGATACTAATAATAGTATTTTTTTTAATAAATCAAATTCATAAAATATTAATATAATTTTACAATGAATATCATGTTCTTTTTTAGATACAGATTATATTAATTTTCATTGTGTCTAATAATATTAATTATTTTATTATATTTTAATCGTATTGTGAAACATAAATTTTAAATTATATCTTCAAATTGGTATTTTTTTCATCTTTATATAATATATTATTAATAAAAATTAAATTAATTATGATTATATTGCAAGAAAATTATAATTTATATACATAGTATTATGTTAAAAATCTAACGACTAATGAAGTAATAAATTATAACTCGTTAGATTTAAATATATATACTTATTAATTTAATGCGTTTTTAATCGAAGGAGATGGTTAGCATACCTAAACCCATCCTAATCTATGTAAATGAGTAATCTTAGTATCTTGCTATCACATTTTTTTCCTATTATTATCATAAAAATTTTATTTTTTATTAATAGACAAACTTCTTTTTTCTTTTAAAACAACGTAGGGAGTATTAAAATAAAACATTATGCACCAACAAATGAAACATGAAACTTTAAATAGGAAGTAAAACATTTAATATTTAGTAAAACTCTCGTGAATTTTGCTCAATGATATTTTGCGTTCATAGGGTCTTACATCATATAAGATAGTGACATAAGTTAATAGCATAGTTTGATAATTACTAAATAGTATAATTTATTTAAATGTATAATTTATTTAAAATTTTATAACTAGTTTTAATAAGTTAATAGAATAGTTTGATAATTACTAAATAGAAGCGTTTTATAACATTTGAAAAAAAATCGATGAAGTAGTATTAAAATTATGACTAATAATAGTTACAACTTACTATAAACTTTTTCTTTTTAAGCAAATTACACGTAAGTATAAATTATAATTTTTTCATTTAATATATTTTATTAAACATCTCTCTCTCTCTCTCTCTATATATATATATATATTAATTTTTGGATTGTCATAATGGAAAAACATCCAGACCTGGGCAGGGTACGATGGGGAGTTCTTACATAATATAACTCGTGAGATATTGCAAGACACTCGACTGAGTGATACATTGACACATGTTGTAATCCCAACCTTTGACGTGAAGATAAAGAAACCAGTTATATTCTCAAATTATAAGGTTAGTATGTATACAAATATAAAATTATAATCAATATTTAAAGTTGTCATTATATATAATTCTTAAAACAAACTTTAATTAGAGAAATATTAAAAATACTTGAATAATTATCTAATGTTCTCCTATAAGTAAAATAAATGGATAGGACTTTGATCTAGCTATTAATTGGATACAATTGCTGAATATTGTTTTGCAACTTTGGTCTTGCAGCTGACGAATTATCCCTTCTTAAATGCGAAGATGTCAGATATATGCATAGGGACTTCAGCTGCACCCCAAACTCTACCTCCCTATCAATTTGAGAATGATGGTACTGAGTTCAATTTGATTGATGGTGGTGTTGCTGCTGGTAATCCGGTAAACAAGTTAATTACAAGTTTGATGCTATTATTATTAATGAAGCCCACTATTCAACCATAAGGCTAATCTCATATAAATCATAGGTACTCTTATTAATATTTTGTGTTTATCTCTTCTAATAAAAATTGAATAGGTTTTACTTATTTAATCTAAAATATATAAAAGTAGATACAAGTTTTAAATATAATTTAATCATATTAAAGTGGTTAACTTGGGACATGAAAAGAAAATTATTGTGCAAAATTGACTTGCCAACAAAAATCTCAACGAGAATGATCACGGTATATGTTCTTCTCTAGTAGATTTTATTTTCCATGATGTGTTTTTGAGCCATCCATAACCTCAATAGTTAGCTAGATTTTTCATTTTTTAAAATTATTTTGTTCGTTTTTGGCCCCTTGAAATTTACAAACGAAAAAAAATATATAATTAATTGACATTCAAAGTGAATTTTATTTAATAAAAGGGTTACATTAAGTACATGTTACGACTAGTATTAAAAGTTTTTAAACTCATTTAAAAATATAAACATAATTTGAAATCATATTTAATAATTCCTAAATTATTGATCTTATTTTTAAATTTATATTTGATACAATAATATAGTTAGCATTTGAATCAATTATATAACATTAATTGAAGGAAAAGGCAACATGTCTCTAGATAGATCAATATATTTTTTTTTTTCAGCTCATTCAAAGACAACATGTGTCACTAGATAGATCAATATATTTTTTCAGCTCATTCAAACAAAAATATTATAAATAAATAGTGCAATTTTCTTATGATAAAACATGAAAGAGATAATTAATTATCTACATATATGGTTCATCAGACGAAGAGTGCCGTGAGTGAAGGTATACGATACAACAGTTTCAGCGAAATTCACGTACTATCGTTAGGAACAGGAGTAACAACAGTTATCGAACAATACGATGCTGAAATCGTTGGTAGATGGTCACAGTTGGACTGGCTATATAAAGGACCAGAATTTCTTGCTCGTGCTTCTACAGACATGACTGAAAATCACCTTGCCACAGTGTTCCCAAGCCCCCAACCTGCCAAAACCTACCTTCGAGTTGAGGTATACTTCTTCAAAGTCGTAACTCCAATTTCAAGTTTTGAGAAAGGAATGTTGAATGTCGATACACCTCTTATAAATAATTTATTTCAATAGATATTAACATTAATTAAGAATACGATCACTATTTTTTTTCATAAAGTTTGATGAACTTTTCTTTCTTAATTTAGCTTTTTAAAAATGAGTCAACTCATATTTTATAATGTGGTTACTACAAATTTTGTTAGACCATCTGCAAATTTTTTTAGAAAATAGACTAATCACGTTAATACGTGTTGTTGTGAAGAAATTAAGTCAAATTTTGACATTTTTTTTTAATATTTTATCATACGCATGATTTGGTAATATTTATGGATTATTTATTTTAGAATAATTAATGAATAAAGTAATTGCAGGAATATGACCTGCCTTATTTCCTGGATAACATGGTTAATGCTACAAAAGAAAACATGGACAATCTCGAACAGGTGGGAAAAGACCTGTTGAAAAAAAATGTCAGGAAGATTAATGTTGATTCTTTTGATATCGAAGAAACTGGTGAGGGTACCTATGCCGAGGCTCTTGACAGGTGTGTATCTATATATATATGGTTGATGGAAGTGATCATATTCTGAACGAAATATTTGTTAAGTTTATAATCAATCCATTTTTTTGAGGGGTCTGTTTTTATTTTGTGAAGGTTTGCTGAGATTTTGTACAGCGAAAGGCAGCATCGTTTGAAAACAATTTCGATGGAGAAAAGGGGACGACCATTTATTCAAACTATGTGGGTTCCTTTTGGCCAAGCTCAAGCAACTTAACGCAGGCAATTACTGAAGAATGTATTAGAATAAATGCCAAACCAATGGCTTGTGTGTTTGTGTGTTTGATCTTCATATGTTGTAATATGTAAGAATCTGTGTTTATTGATGTGTGTATGTAATGTGTGTAGTGTTTGATATAACAAGGTTCAGTGCTCATCCTTTTCGTTAAATATTATATAATTGATCCTTAGTTGGATTGTTACTTGTTCTGATCAATCCCCAATCATAATTGTTAATCTCGAATGGCAAATAGTGATTGATCCGTAAAACACAATAGCAAAATAGCGTGTGACAGGATAATTACTATTTAAAAATTTATAATATACATATATAAAAGTATCAATGAACAAAAAAAACAGCAAAAAAGCAGAGTTTGAAGCAAGAGTGATAAAGTGAACAAAAAACAGCAGAAAAACAGAGCTTTATCTCTTTCAACAAACAAAACAGAGGAGACGTCGAAAAAGCTGATTTCTCCGTCGAAATGGAATGGGTTACCCAGTGAAGAGGAGAGAAACCGCTATGTTGAGGCCCCAACTTTTCGTGCAGAGAGGCAAGGTGTGAGGAAGATGGAATCGATATACATGTTTTATGTTTTATAAAGGGTAAATGACTTTTTTACCCTTAGAAATAATTAAAATGCTGCGTTTTAGCAAAAATCAGAATAGGGTTTCTTGCTTCCCCAATTTTGTACGATTGAACATGCGAACTTCTCCCTTTTCTGTCCACGGACCCCATGCAATCAATGAACATGACAAACGCCCCGCAGTGTGGCAGCAGTGGCGGCTGACAGCCACACCGCGCTAGTGCGACAGCACCACTATAGCACGCTATTAACAACTATGTCCCCAACCAATTATTTTGCAAGCAAAGCTATGAGAAAAAGAGACACATTTGCTAACAGCTAACTCAACTTTGATCTTAATACTAAGAATCCAAAACTACAACTTATTTTCAAGTATCAAGATCACGTTGCAAGTGCTTAGTAGTTTCTAGCTATGCTAAGGTTTTCGTTTAAGAATTTTATTTTAAGACATTAGAGTGGAGTATTTTATTTTCCCTAACGTGACAACATGTTTACTGTTTACAAAGTGTTCCACTACTCCACTGTTGGCTCTTTTCACTTTCTTGGGCCATACAAGCTCCAATAGCGCGTGAAGAATTGTGTAAAAACTTAGAAAGCAACCAACATCCAATAAAGAAACAAGAAAAGAGACAATTTTACTAAATACCAAGAATGAATGAAGATGAAAAACAAACCATCTTGATCTTCAATTTTCAACAAGATCCATCAAACTCCAACTCACAATGAACAAAGCAAAATCACGAAAAGATATCCTATATAAAAAAAAAACTTTTTTTTTTAATAAGGAAAACTCACCAAATAAAGGCTATTTAAGCACTTGGAACACCGACCAGGAAAACCATTAACATTTGTGGTGCTACTGAAGCAATTCTTCTCCAACCCTCTCACACTTGCATCCACAACAAGTTCTTCACTTTGGCTCAGAGAAAATGCATCAGGGCAGTTCAAGGGGTGGAGCCTAATGCCACAAAAACAATACACATAACATGTTTCATTAGGCCTTGTCAGTTAAAAGCCTCTTACTTTCAAAACCTTTCCCAACTCATTCACCCAGGTTTCTGAGTCATCTGACAGCATAGGCATCATGTCATATAATGATGTGGCATGGCCATGGTCATGCCAAGTGCAATGTAAGAGTACGCAGAATACAGCAATGCTGCAAGCACTGGGCAGTACCAACTGTGGTGCAGTTCCTTGTCACCATCATCTTTGGTGACACCACATGCACTTTTATCCCATCAAAGAACTCATCTGAGAGTGTAAGAGGGCACACTGCAACATCAGATTGTTGTGGGAATGCTGGGATTGTTGTTGATGGCTTAGATGGGCTTAAGGGTGGTTGCTGCTAGATCAGGAAGGTCCATCAAGGAAGGGAAGTAGAGAATGCAGCAGAAGAAAAGGAAACTGGATATGCTTATTCCTTCACAAGTTTGACATCTGGATTTCTCATGGTTTTGAGCCACATGCCAGCTATGATTCTTGAGAAAATGTTCCATAACAAGTGTAAGTGGAAAGCATTAGTTTTAATCTCAGAATAAGCCTCTAGCAACCATTTCATGAAGAAGTTTCTCAGCTGTATCATTCTCACCTCTTTCAAAGAGAGCACAGATCATTATGTCAAAAGTTATAGCATTAGGGCTGCAACCATTGTCTTCCATCTTTGACAACAAGGCTAATGCTTCATCAAACAAGCCCTCCTTACAAAGCCCATTGATCATAGCATTATATGCTTCCACATGGTCATTAATCAAAATGGCCTGGAAAATCTCTTGTGCATCCTTGAGTCTTCCGCCTTTGCATAGTCCATCAATAAGTATTGTGTATGTATATGCATCTGGATGAATGCCCTTGTCTATTACTTTATTGAATAATGCTATTGCCTGCTCTAAATGATGGTTTTTGAATAATGCGTCTAGTAGGGAACTGTAGGTAATTATATCAGCATGTTGACCTCTGTCATTCATCTCATCAATAAGCTTCCAAACATAAGAAACTCTTCCTGATTTGCACAAACCATCAATAACAGAAGTGTAAGTTACTGTATTTGGAACCATACCGTTGCAATGCATGTCTTCAAAGAGATCCATGGCTTCATCCACCATGTTAATCTTGCATAATCCACTAATCATTATGCTGTAGCTATGCAAATCAGGGATTACTCCATTTCGGATCATGTTGTTGAATACACATTTGGCATTCTTTACTTCGTTAACTAAGCAATAGCCATCCATCAAAGTATTATACGTAACAACATCAGGTTTCACACCATCTTTTATCATCACAGCTAACACATTTTTAGCTTCTCTCACCTTTCCTTGCTTATACAGTGCATCAACCAATATGTTGTAGATATAAACATTTGGGTTGATTCTTTTCAATACCATTTCATTGAACAAACCAACTGCTTTCTTCACTTGACCCAAAAGGCAAAAGCCATACATTAGACTACTGTAAGTGACAAAGTTGGGATAAATTTTCTTGACAATCATTTCTGAAAAAAGATCACATGCCTCGGTCAAAAGTTTATCTTTACATAAGCTATCAATGATTGTACTGTAAATTACCACATTAGACTGAATCGATCGCGCTTCAATCATTCTAAGCAATTGAATGGCAGCTTTTGTTTCTCCCATTTTACATAATCCATTGATCAGAATCCCGTAACTAAATTGGTTCATCTGAAATCCTCGAGCTACCATCTTGTCGTGAAAATGCAGTGCTTTTCTAACGTTGCCATCAAGACACATACCATTCATGAGTGTAGAGAAGGTTACGATGTTAGGCTGATGACCCAATCTGAAGATCTTGGCCAATACCGAGAAAGCTAAGGTCATATGACGCAGTTGGCATAAACAATTGATGTGAATGTTAAAAGTAAAAATGTCTGGCTCCATTCCCTTGAATCCCAATTCTTGAAGAAGGGAAATGGCAGTGTGGAATTGCTTGTTCTTAACGAGTGACCCCAAAATCTTGGTAAATTGAATAATGGATGGGGAAGGACGCGTATTGAGCATGCGATTGAACGAGGCAACAGCATCATCAACATCAATATTGTGAATGAATCGGATTTGGAGTGAGGATGAAGGAAAATAGAGAAGAAAAGGAGGAAACTTGATAACAGAGAGACGGAGAGAAGAGCTTAACCTTGAGAATGACATTAGGAATATCAAAGTCGTCGTCTCTTCTTCAGGGTTCCGAATGTTAATCGTGTTGTGTTTAGGGTTTTGTCGGTTTTTTTAATTAAATTGAACTTATTTTTATTTTTTGTATTTTTTTATTTATGCACATGTTAGATATTTAAATTTGTATAACTTATATCTATAATAGTTATACAATTTATTAATTAAAATATATATTTTTATAAATTAATAAAGCATAAATATTATAGTATTATAAAATAATTTTAATAAAAATAATTTTTAAAATATGTATCTTTTATATTGACAAAAATTTTATATTATTTTTTTGTTTTTATTGTAAAAATTACTATCTACGACTGTAATTATATTTAAAGAATGACAAAACAGATAAATAATAAAATAAAATTTTAAATAAAAAATTTAAGAATTATATATATTATTATTTAGATATTAATTTTTTTGTGTGAAATAAATATTTTTATCAAAATTATGTAATAATTAAATTATATTAACTTACTTTAGTGATATCAAAAATTATAAATATTTTTTTTACAAAATATAAAAATAATAATTTTTATGGTTTATTTTATTAATCATATTATTAGTTTACAATTTCATAATAATAATAATTGTTTTAATTAAACTCAAATTATCCCATGTGATTTGAGTTGTTAAAACATAGTATTAGCACAATTAAGTACAGTTAGTTTAGTTAGCCGTCTATACCCCATTTAGTATTTAATTCCACTTTGAGTGATGATAGATTCAGAAATTCATTAATTTAGACTCTTTAATATATAGTTTTACATTTAAATAATACATGCTATAATGAAAGAAGTTTCTATATTTGTTTATGAATCGAACATTGAATCAGTTGAAACTTGATGAAAATTAGTGATAAAATTTTGTTTGAATCATATGTTCAAACTTTTGATTTAATTTTTCTATTTAAAAATATATTTTAAGAAAAATAAATTTTTTTATTTGATATTAATGTTTTTTAAATTTTAATTGTAGTACAATATCAGTATAAAAAATTTGTCACCATTAATCAATTAAAATATATCATAAATAAATTTTTTTTATGTGGATTATTATAAAGTTCAATAATTTTCGCTGATATAACAGTTCATAATTTGATTGTGCAATTTTTTTTTTACTTTTTTAGTGTATTTAAATTAATTTTTTTTATCATATAAGACAAATAATTTATGATTTTTTAAATTAATTTAAAACTTTATCTAATTTATTTATTTATAATTTATAGTGATATGTAATATAATATTAAAAATATATTTAAGAAAATACAAATTCAATTGAACCATAAAAAAATGAATAAATAATAAATTGCTGTGTTTAACTCTATTTTTTAAAACATTCGCTCACCAAATATAAAATTCTGATGTATTTCATTCTGTTATATCTACACATGAATATTTAACAAATATATAATAATGTTAATTATTAAGGATTTAATCATAAAAATTTAGAATTATAAATACCTAATTAAAAAATGTTTGAATTATGAAGACCAAATTATATTTTCAAAGAATTATAAAAATTAATAGATAAATTTAACCTAAATGTTAATACATTTTAAAAAAATTTATTCTTATGTCAATTATGTAATAATTAAATTTTATTAGTATAATTTAAGAATATAAAAAAAAATAAAAATTTTATATTAAAACATAAAAATATATTAATAATTTTGGTGATTTATTTTATCAATAATTAATTTTTATGCTAATTCTATAAATTAACTATTTATATATTATGTAAATATTTATTTTATATTTATATTTTTTTATATGCATTCTTTTGTATGAATAATCTAAATATTTATATTAAATTTTTGAACTTTTTATTTTCATATAAGAAATTTTTTAAAAAGGATAATTATAATTTGAAAGAAATAATAATTAAACTTAAAAGTAAAAAAAATTATCCAGTCCAAAAATAAGGCTAAGTGTTTACCAAAATTTTCCATAACTTATAACTATATAATCAGTGATATTATATGATTAATTTAAATTACTTAAATATGCTAAATTGATTTTAAAAAGTTAAATAAATCAACAATTAAAAAAATACATTTTCATGCATTTTAGTTCAATTTTTAGTTTTTATATTCAAGAAACAAACTGTAACAAAAAAATTATATTATTTTTTATATATTATTATTATATAAATATTATCTTATAATATAGGCTTAAATATGTTATTAATTCTTATAAATATATGTCGTTTTGTAACATATTAATATTTTATTTAAAATAACAAATTTTTATAGCGAATAGAAAATAAATTTTTCTTCTATTAATGGATTTAATAATAAAATAAAGACAAATTTTTTATTTTCTTTCTTATAAAAGCTTCATAAGATTCCAAAAAGTCAAGTTTCCAAGTGTAAAACCATGAAACTTTGAAATAATCAAATAAAACTTAAATTTACTTTTGACATTAATTCGTTTACAAAATTTAGTCATCATAAATTACAACTTGAACAAAGTAATAAAATTTCTCAAATGGTCATAATTCCTACAGAGCAGTCTTCCTTTTAACACCCTTGAATTATTATTCTAGGACGGATCCAACATCATTTTTTTCCTTCATTTTTATCACCTTAAAAATATTAGTAAGAGTGAGTATCTCTCACTCCACTAAAATAAGATTATAGCCTGAAATAATACTTTTGGACAACCTATGATGCCTGCAAACTAGGACATAAATAATAGCAACATTATATGTAGTGAAATGAGTCAGAAAAGTCTCCAAATATGGACACCTTGAGAAAAGCGATTGATAATAGCTAAAATAACAATATGGATATGAATAACAAGTTTTCTCTTCCTATAAAAGAAATCTTAAACTTCCTAAGTTGTATTTTGTGATTCCATTTTACCAAAAGGAAAAATAAATAATTTTACCTAAATAAACAAGAAAAAAATAAG